AATATGTTATAATAATTCTGCACCGTTTTATATTTATATTTGTCATCATTTCATCATTTCTAAACATGGTTTAGCTTTTTCTAAATATGGTCACCCAAATAAAAAATGCGACGAAATGATATCAGCTGTTTTCGCTACCGGTCTAATTCTGTGTAAGTAGGGGAAATAGCTGGGTGAATGGTGGGTGACAGGATCGCCCAATGCGGCGAAGTTTGCCGTTCGCCGGCATTGTGTTTCAGCTATTAGCTAAAGTCCTATTAAGTACCCCACGTACATATATTTAACCAAGGCGGATTTATACAAGGTGGCGAATTTAGATTTTCGCCGCGGTACTGCTGAATGGCAATATGATGTGTTTGTTGTAATATGAATTAGCCTTGTTTACAACAAACACATCACTTTGACATTAAGAAGCAGCGCAAAAAAATTATTTCAAAATTTATTTCATTTAAAAAATGCAAACAAAATTTTTTTAATTTAAAAAATGCCAAGTGGAAACATACATAATGACTAGTTTTATGAACGAATTGGTAGGGGCATTTTTTAATGCCTAGTGGAAATTCAGCATTACATTCGTGTTGTTTCAATTCTTTGCTTTTGAATATTTCATTGAAAAATTATATTAGGGGAGTTAACTATTTGTAGCACTTTAGGTGTAAAGTTGCCACGTAGCAATCTAGCACTCATTTTGTTGTTGGAGATATACAATAGTGAACTACCCTTAAATATTTTTAGTATTATTTATGAGGCCATTGTTTCCTAAATCATTTATTCTCTTTCCACCGATTTCTTTAATTTTACTTTTTAGTTTATAATTGTGAATGTAGTACTATTTATTTTTATTTTGAACTATTTTAATCACCATTTAGGTTCTTGGAATGGAGGTAACAGCAAGTTGTGAGGGTGGCCAAAAATGGACGGGACGCCCTCCAACTCCTGTTTTCTTTTCACACCATGAACATGTAAGTGTGCGCCAGGCTAACTTGCAATTAATTTCACATACATATACATATGTATTCACCAATAGATATCTAAGAAAATTACTTATAATTTGGATTTGAAACTAACTACTTATGCGCATGAAAACCCCAAAAATTCCAAGAACGTAGCATTTACTGTAAACGTTTTTTTATTATACATAAGAATATTGCAGAACTTCATAATAAAAATAATCAAATATTTTTCCTCGCATTACTACACAGTCCAAAGACAATGACGAAGATGAAATGCCTGAACCACAATCCATCTACCTTGAAGGTGCTTTAGCACACGAGTCACAAATATTGGTTACCGATTCGGAAACAAAGGCGGAGGAGGTCTACGATAAAGAGCTCAATGGCTCACTAGAAGAGCCAGCGGTAAGTGAACATAAGTAAAAATTAATTAAAATAGCACAAAACTAACTATGGGCAAATCCATGGTGGAATATCTCACTCCTCCAGCTTAATAATCCACTAGCTGGGAAATAAATAAATAAACGAAAAATTACTTAAAAATAAAACAAGACAAAATAAATTAAATATAAAGGAATTAAAAAATAAAATATGAATAAAATAGCACAAAAAATTAAATGAATAACATAAATATATGTATGTTCAAAACGAAATAACAATAATAACAAAATAAAATAATTAAAAATGAAATAAAATTACATAACCAAAAAAAAATTAAAATAATTAAAAAATAAGACAAAATAAAAAAAATAAATAATATGAAACGTAATAAAATTAAATAAGAGCACAATAAAAAATAAGTTAATAAACATAAAGGATGAAAAAAATAAAACAAAATTAAGAAAAAATAAAAATATCAAACACCATGCAAATAAATGAAATACAATTGAATTAAATGAAATTAACGAAATACAACTTAAAAACAAAACAAGACAAAATAAAATTAAATATAAAAGAATTAAAAAATAAAAATTTAAATAAAGTAACAAAATATTAAATAATAAATAACAAATTATGAAATCAAAAAATAAAAATTAAGTGAGACAAATAAAATGATTTAAATGATAATAGGAATGAAATAAAAAAACCAAAATTAAATAAAACTAAGTTGAATGAAAAAATAAGAAAAGCTTAAAAAATTAAAGGAAATTAAACCAAATGAAACAAGATTGAAAATATAAAATGAAATGAAAAAATAAATAAAATTCAATAAGGCAAATTAAATTAATTAAGGCGATATAAACTTTTTCCTACAGTATACTATGAAAAATTAATCACCTTTTGAAAATCTTTTACTAGGATAAATCTTTTTTTATTTAACTTCAGGTTGTGCTTAGCAGTAAAATGACATTATCGCTAATTAATTTGGATACAAATCATGAAAATAGTGAGGAACAAAAGAAACCAGAAGTCGAAAGTCCACTGGCAGACGATATCGAGATAATTGGCGACGATGCAAAGTTAAATGCTGGAAATTGAAATTCATCTTATCAAAAAATAAAAATAAAATAACATAAAAAAAAATTGGAAAAACTCGAGGACTTCTTGAATTCATTGATGAATTGATTGAGATGAGAGCTGTTTTAGAAACGAATCGAACAATGAAATGAATAAAAGAATCCGAAATGAATATGTATTTCCATAAAGTATGCTACATTTTGTGGAAGATTGTATCGATATCATCTGATTTATTGAAATTGAAAACCATAAATTTACATTGTGACTGAATTATGCATATATTTTTGTTTACATGTTTTCATGAATGTCGTGAACCAAATAACATAAATACTTATCAATTTGTAATATGTAAAAAGGCCTTATTTTTTGGCGCTTATGATAAATATGTATAAAAACTTAAGAACTTGTACTTCCGTTGTATGGAAAACCTACTATCAACAATGATAACACTCTTCGTTTTTTTTCTTTCTAAAATATCTACATGGATGCATTTTCTTTCTAATACTATTTTTTTCTATCGTTCTTGTTTTGTTATTTGTACATTTTAAAAATTTGCTCGTATCTACTATGTGCTCAAAATAATTTGTATGCCAAATACTATCATTAAACACAAACAAGGAATACGTATTTCCAAACCTTAAAATACACATCCCAAAATATTTGAATATTTAAATTATTTATACCATATACCAAATGCATAAATATTGTGTTAATTAAATACTGTATGTGTTTGTTGTTCAAAAATGATATTATTAATAAATCTAGTCTTCAACAAAACAAAAATTTGTCGCAATCATAGTTTCTAACTATTGCCAATTTATTATAGTCGTATTCATCATGAAATTTATTTTTATTTTTTGGCAAATTTTGTATGTATTTATGCAACTACTAATAGTGAGTAATTTGTCGTATTTTCAATGATATTTATATTTATAAAAGACCAATTATATGTGAAATTTGGAAATACTGGGGTTTAAAAGCCAAATAAAATAGAATTAGGGAAAGCTCAAATTTGCTGCAGAAGTTTTAATTTCGTTTAATAAAGTTAATCATTAAATTAAGTAAGTATCTTGCAATACCCTCACCCACCAACACAAATTATAGGAGTTTCATCAACAAATTTTGAATCTGATATAGAGCGCCTATCAAGCAGATACCTAATTGGTAAATATCTTTTATTAGGGAAAATGTTACGAAAGTACTACTGACTACACGCACCGCCCTACATAATGTAGACACCGCCATGCAAAATGTTGTTAGGCGGATAGAGGTACATACATATGTACTATTTATGTAGAAAATAATATTTTTAGATGCGCTAAAAACAATAACTGTCGAGCCCTAACGGCCAAAATAACGTAAGGGACATTTTTTTTTTTAATTTTCGTTTTGATGGAGAAATATTCCTAGAGCATCTAGACGCATTTTTGCATCGAAATGAAAATTTTGAAAAAAATGTCGCTTACCTTATTTTGGCGGTTAAGGCTCGATACGCAGAGTTGCAGAAGTGCCAAGATGCTATGGAGTTTGCATGGTACCACCCGATCGGCAAGCAGAGACACTTCACAAAGAGGAGAGCCTGCCTTCTCCTGGTCGCTAGTGGTGAATATTTGGTAATAATTGGAAAGTCACTGGGCACAGTGAAGAAATATTGTTTTTAGTTAAAAATTAAATTTTAAACAATTAAAAATGAGTATTATAGTTCTTTAATTCATGTGCAGATATACGTATATACATATGTCGATTTATCATAAAGGGTATTTATGAGACAGTTTTAAAGCTCTTAGTGTGCAAGTACAGTTTGGGTGGCAATGTTGGAAACAGAGAGTTGCATAATTCCGGTCAATAAAATGCGTAATATGCTAATAACCAATAATCGTACGTGACACAAATGGTCAAAGTAATAATTATGCAAGTTTGCAGCTATTGGGGTGTTCACAGTTCGTTCCAAATAGTGTCTCAAAATGTAGACGTCTACATTTTAAGACGTTTTCTAACCGTAAAATCTGTGGTGTTGTTGTTTCCCATACAAAATTGGAAAACGACGCCGTCTACATTTTGTCACACTCAAAGGTATGCTTTTTACGCGTCTACATTTTGCAACCTCGCAGCAGGGTTGCATTATGGCAATACTAATCACATTTTTTTTATTTATTGGGCACGTTTTCCGTATTTGCATTTAATTTGAGCGCAATTTTTGATGAAAAGAAACAAATCAAGGAAAAGGAATAACAAATATTACGAATTGGTAATTAAGTTAAATAATTACAATTTTTCAGAAACAAAATCGAAAGGCGACATATAAACAATGCACGCAAACAAGAAATGTCTGGCAACACCAGCAAAGTTTTGAGACGATTTTGCGACGACTGCTAGAAAGGGGTGCTCACAGTTTGATGCTAAAAGTGTCTCAAAATGTAGACGTCTACATTTTCCGACACAATTTGGAACGAACTGTGAACACCCCATATATTATAAATACAAATTCATATTTTAGCATGCTGAACCCCAATTTTTCAAGATTTCAAAAACTACCACCCTGTTATAGCTAATTGAATCTCTCCAAGCATTGTTGGTTCTATGGCCACACTAGTCTCCACTTTCAAACAGCTGTAAGGTTGTCAAATTTGACTTTTCTTTAGACGGGCTGTTTTGGTGAGTGAAATTACGTAAAAAAGTAAGTAAAACGATTTAAGAATAAACTGTTTATTGTTTGTTTGGAAGTTAAATTGCCAAAAAATGTAAGCGCTTAAAATAATGTAAATCTTATAACGTAATGTCAATTAACTTCCGTAATCCTGCTTTTGGCTGTTACCAAAAATAGGGCTGTCCGATGCACTGGATGGGCCATATAGAATGGCAGATACAAATTTGTAATGCATTATATTTGTTATTTTGATTTTATTAAAGCATTTACAATGTCGTTCCTGAAATCACAATACTATGACTACCCTGAGGGACAGGATGCATTTGGAAAAATTGTTGCCACCAACAAATATGCCCTTGGTGCCGGTCTCGCTTGGTCCACATGCGATGTGCTAATGTTGTCCAAACCGCAAGGCTATCTACCAACTTTAGCGCGTTTTGCTTACAATACAGGTCCAGCGATGGGTATGGCTACTGCATTCACATTGGCCACATTGGTGTCGACGAATGTGCGCGGCAAGGACGATAAGTAAGAGATTTACGAGTACGATAAGTACGAGAATATGTGTGCTGAAAATATGTATATTTCTATCATTTTAGATTAAACTATGTGATTGGTGGCTTTGCCGCAGGTGCAGTGTATGGTGCGTGGAGAAAAAATCACGTTTCGGGTCTTCTTGCAGGACTTTTCCTCGGTAATTTTACGACTTTTATATTATTTGTTAGCTTGCTGGATAAAAACACATACATACGTATATTTATTTTTTCAGGTATCGCTGGCGCTGTGAAGAAACTATCTAAACAGGAGGGCTGGGATTTCTTTCCACCAATTAGGCACCAGCAAGGCTCACTAAACGGTGTCATTCATGATTATACAATAATGAAGGATCCGGGCAATCCCAAAGGTGGATTATAAAAAAGTTGGAAAATGCAATATGACCGAAAAAGGGGATTCATACTAGCATGTTAGATAATATCGAAGTTGGCGCTAATGAGCAAATAAATCACAAAACGATTCCGAAGTCTTGAAAAAATATTTCTCCTAACTTAATAAGTCATAACTGAACGTCTAGCTTCAGTTGCATGGCATGTGGCTGAGATGGTAACACAAATCGCAACTGGCAACTGAGTTGCTATATTTCTTTTTTCAATTGTTTTTTCAGCTTATTTGCACTAAGAGCCTTATTCTCTATCTCGAGCGATTCGTCTGCAGAGGAATGCTGCAAAAATTAGTTCGGCGGCATCATTATAGACGGCTTAAACGTAACCGAAACGATTGCCACATAATCGCCGTAAAGCGAGACGAAGACGATCGATAGAGTAATAAAATTGCAAACAGACGATGCCGTATGGAGACGAATCGTTCGTTCGGCCTATGGTTCGAGATACATAATAAGGCCTTAAGTCTTGGTTGCTGGTGCTTTAAATCCTATTATCTTATAGTTGCTGCTCAGAATATACCTATACAGTGGCCGAAATAATTATAGCCGCACCACATTTTGACAAGTTTTAACATATTGTTTTTGTTCTTATTTAATTTTGTTTATTTTTTTATAAAAATATAGTTCATTCTTTAAATACACACAATTTATTTTTATATGAAAGAAAACCGAAACATCCTGGACAAAAAAAAATCTAAGCCGTAATCTTTAGCCATTTGAAACTAGAACTTTGTTCTACTAGAATTCAATGGGCTACAAAACTGCATACTCTGAATATTTTTAGGAAATCGAATTTAAAAAGTTAGAAATTTTTGCGAAAGTTTGTTGAATTTTTTTTTTAAATATTGCACAAAGTTTGAAACTTGGATTTACACGGATTTTGTTAAAGAATGAACTATATTTTTATAAAAGAAATAACCAAAATTAAATAACAACAAATATAATATGTTAAAGCTTGTAAAAATGTGATGCGGCTAATATTATTTCGATGTATTCGATGTATTTTAATTCCAGAAATAATAGAAACGTCTTATTTTGACCAGTTTTGGCTCTATTTCTATTTCTTATTTAATGTTTAATATTTTTTTATAAAAGTAATGCATGGCACAATAAACAGGTGAAGTAATAAAACAGCTTTCTCTTCTCGCTTATTTTCTGACATTCGGCTGCCTTATACTTAAATTTTAAAGGCAAATCTTCAAATAAGGCAGTGTCAAAATCTTTCTTCTCATCTTCTCACTCTAATTAATTCACCTGGTTTAATTCCACCATGGTCTAATGTCCGGTTTCACCAATCAATTTAAAAGCATATCAGACTGTTGAAATTTAAAATGACAAATATTCCTAGCAAAATTGTGTAATTTTTAATTTTAACAGGCTGATGGAATTAAAATTGATTGGTGCATCCGGGCATAACTCTCATATTAAACTGCATTCCTTTTTGTTCAGAATTTCTAGAAAAACTTTAGATATGCAGTTTTATAGCCAATTAAATCTAAGCATTATAAAGTATACAAGTTTATAGTAGCTTAAAATGGCGCAGATTTTTAATATTTTTTGCCACAGGATTTTTTTTATCTCTCTTATAGCTCTTTAAACACGCGCTACTGTTGTTTATTATATAATGAGCTACAATTTTTTTTGAATATTACAAAATAATAAATATAGCCAAAACTGGTCAAAATAAGGCGGTTCTATAATTTCTGACACCAGTGTAAGTATCAAAAATTATTTGGTACAATAGTATAGCAATTTTGTATATAGGGCCGATTTGATGACTAACTTATGATGGAACCTTCTTCATTAGATGGTCTCTGACCTCGAGGAAACTTATACCGTCGATGCCTTTGACCACTTGCAAAACCACCTAAATCGCCATAGTGGCAAAAATCAGATTTCGTAATCCTTAAATCCAGGCAACGAGCCTCATTCATAAAAATCGTAAAATATTTATTCCAACAGATTTGTTAAATAACAGCTAATAAATTACTGCCTATTAAGTCAACGGCTTAGCTTATTCGCGCTCCTATAAAATTTGTCTGCACTAAGATAGGCGGTTTTACAACTGGTCCATGGCATCGAAGATTTATATGCAGGCATTCAAAAGGGTACATTCTCAAGATTTAGATTTTTAGGTACAAAAACATGAGATGTGATTAAACTCCATTTTAGTTCTTAAAATTTGTTATATTTTTTAGTCCCTTAAGTTCCAACAAGGCACAACTATTTAAATACATACTCCCTTCAGATTTCAATAGGAAAATTATTTTAAAACAATGAGTGGACAGCGTCGATAGAAATTAGAACCACAAGGTTTTGTATATGGGCAAATCCTAGCGTTACGGACGGTACCTTTGGACGCTTCTTTTGACTTTTTTTGCCGAAAAAAAATTATAAGTTAAAATTTTTTTGGGGTATAAGGAAAGGTATACAGCAGTACTTATGAGAACACGTGCAATGCCTGTGGCGGGTGGAGTCACCTCCGTAACTGCTCGGGCCTACGTATGCACCGGTAATGGACCACGTCGTTCGTGGCCCCATACTGTGCGAGCGATGGCGCACCCACCAGGATTATGGGCAGCTGCCGCAGCTCGCCAGATCGCCAGGTCAGCGCTGGTCTGGTAAACAGCGTATCATGGCGACCTATGCTGACCCTATCATCAGACATCTCGATAGATAAACCTGCCGACTTTGCTTCCGCGGATCACCGGACCTATGTCAACTTTTCCAAAGCTGACTGGAAAGGCCTCGCGGATGTTACAGAAAGCACTACCCATACCAACCGACGTTCACGTAGGTGAATGTAAATTCCGCAGGGTTGTCACTGCTACTGTAGCTCGCTTCATACCAGACGGATGTATTAAGGATCCATGTCCGAACTCTCCTGCTGAAGGGGCTGTTCTAGCCGATGAGCGTGACAATCTTCTTCCGGCCGTTCCCGGAAATCAGCGTATCAGGGATCTCAATTCGGAGATTCGGCAACTTGTGAACGTACATAAGCGGAAGAAATGGGAAGAGCATTTGAAGACCTGCAACTTCGCCTCTGGTGTAAGCTTAGTCAACCGTGAGGTCGTTGTCCAACCCGGCGAAGCGTGACGTGTTGGAATAGACTTTGGTGACCACGCTTCGTCGGACCCGGAGCGACGCGCGAGCTATATCAGCCGACAGTTCATTCTGTATCCTCCGGTGGATAAAGCCAAACGTCGAGTGACCAGAAGGCTGCATAAAATGTCAAAACCCAGTGCGCCTCTTGTTTTCACCAGCGGTGAGGAAGGGGTAGCCATCGGGAAGGCGAAAGCCTCCAAAGCCATGGACCCGACGGAATATGCATTTCGATGCTGAAAAAGTAGCGTACCTAACGGAGGTCCTCAACTTGTCTATGGCCACTCTCGTCATTCCAGACATCTGGAAGATGGGGAGAGTGGTCCCACTGCTCAAACCGGGGAAACCAGCCAACAATGGAGAGTCTTATCGCCCGATAGCTTGTGAGACAAATATTCCAGTAGCGTTGGACCTGTCCAAGGCATTCGACACTGTCAGACATTCAACGCTGCTAGAAGACATAGAGGCCTCCTCACTCCCACAGGACTCAAACGGTGGTCGGCGAATTATCTAAGTGGTCGACACTAATTTTAAGAGACAAAACCAGCAAGCTACATAAAATTCAACAGGGGGTACCGCAGGGTGGTGTCCTGTCACCCTACTATTTAATTATTACATCTCAAAGCTTCCTCAACCACCAGAGGTTGTCAATATTGTCTCTTATGCTGACGATCGTTCGATCATGGCGTATGGGAATGTGCTCGAAAGTAAACGGTTATCTCGCCGAACTTTCTCGCTTCTTCACTGCAAGGAGCCTAGCCCTATCTCCTGCGAAATCCTCGGCAACCCTATTCAGCACCTGGATGAAGGAGGTCAGACTGCAACTGGGTATTCACGTTGATGGCGTAACAATACCGACGGTGAATAACCCGAAAATCTTCGGAGTTACCTTGGACAGTCTGCTCTCCTTCTCGGCCGCAATTATCGACAAAGCACAGAGCCGAAACAATGTCCTCAAGTCGCTACCCGGCAGCAACATACAAGGAAATTGGCGGCCGGTTCTAAACTATGCAGCGCCCGTGTCGTCGCCTGGGACTAGCAGGACGCAGTGGATGAAGCTACAGACCTGCCAGAACCGAACACTACGAATATCGACCGGATGCCTCCTGATGACGCCCCACACCACCTACACGACGAGGCCCAGATGCTCCCAGCCAGCCCAGTTGTGGGGAGCCACAGACGTGGCCATCTTAGTAGACAGCTGCTTGCAGAAGAGCCTTAGCCAAGGCACGTCAGGAGGCATCGCTACGAACTGACGGACGAAGTCCAGAGGTTCATTAAATAACCTCTGGACCCGCCAGCCTACCGACAGGCCCTGAACGGCATTCACAGGGAATCAGTCTCGAGTTATGTAGACTCCCACGGTGTGAATGCCGGCTAAACTCATACCTGAGCAGAATTAATGAGGATGTACCCAACCAATGCCCGGCATGTGGAGAGTCACCACATGACTCTCGGCACCTCTTCACATGCCCTGAGAACCCCACCCAGCTGACGCCCCTGTCCCTATGGACAGACCCTGTTGAAGTCGCACACTTTCTGGGCCTCCCCTTAGCTGAAACGGACGTCAACGTTGACGGATGAACCGACCCGAGCGAGGCTTGGTAGCCGATGCAACAACAACAACAAGAACAAAAAATGGAAATTTGAATTTTAATTAATGTCTGTGTATTTTCATTCGAAGTTTGTGTTAGAACGTTACTGAAAAAGGAAGTAATTTTGATATGATCCATCAAAGTCAACCGATTTGCGCAAATTGTAATATATGAAGAACAAAATCTAAAATAATACTTTGAAGAAAAAAGGCTATTTGGAGCTTTGTGTCAAGAAGTAAGAGGGGCAATTCAGATTTCTTAAATTAGTGTGAAAAGAAATATTATATAACAATATGTTGTACCATGCCATTTTCGACACAAAAACGCGAGATTTTGAATTGCATGTATTTTTTCAGATTTTGGTTGACTATTTCTCGGATTCGCCCATATATGAACTC